TGATTCAAGCTCTCTAACACGGATTGTGATTGAACCCCAGCTTTCCCCAAACATCTCTTTGTGGAAGAAACTTTCAGGATATTTATTTCACTTAATTCCTATTTTGTAACAATGCCCATTCACTGAGTGATCTGTAAGAGTTTAAAACTGTTTAGACCCCTTTGAAGAGGCAGTCACATACATATATTTGAATTGTCATACTAAAACCAATCCCTCACAGTTGGGTTCTGTAAATCAGTCCTCTGAAGAGCAACTGCAATTAAATAGCCAGCATAAATTATTTAGCCCTTGGCCATGTCTGGATTATCACAGAAGCAAGAACTCCACCCATTATCAACCTCTTCTATGGGAATGATATATCCTGGCAAATAGCAGCTTTTCACTCTCTGATTAATATTTATTATGTATTTCTATGGTGGAAGTACAAAGCAATTTGACAAGATATGCCAAGAGCTTTAAATATGCTCATTCCAAGAATCCAGCAAAGAGAATACTCCAAAGTGTGAATAAAATTTATGTACAAAAATATTCAGTGAAGTGAACATATATATATGTGTATATATATATATTTTTAAGAGACAGGGTCTTGCTGTGTTGCCCAGGCTGGTGTGCAGTGGCAAGATCATAGCTCATTGTAGCCTCAAACTCCTGGACTCCAGTGATCCTCCTGTCTCAGCATGCTGAGTAGCTGGGATTACAGGCATGAGCCACTGTGACCAGCTTATTTTTATGAGCTTTAAAATGACATGGAAATGAGACTGTTTTCTAATATTAAGTCAGAAAAGGGGATACCAAACTGTACACCTAATATGACAGCCATATAAATAAAAAATGCATTTTTATAAAAATTAAAAATATGTAGGGCCAGGTACAGTGACTCTTGCCTGTAATACTAGCACTCTGGGAGGCCAAGGTGAGAGGACTGCTTGAGTTCAGGAGTTGGGGAACCATCCTGAGCAAGAGCAAGACCCTGTCTCTACTAAAATATGGAAAAATAAGCCAGGCATGGTGGTGCACACCTGTAGTCCCAGCTACTCAGGAGGCTGAGGCAGAAGGATCATTTGAGTCTAGAAGTTTGAGGTTTCAGTAAGCTGTGATGATGCATTCTACCTGGGGCAACAGAGTGAGACTGTCTGAAAAAAAAAAAATATACATATATACATATATGTGTGTGTGTGTGTGTTATATATATATGTAATATATGTACACACACATCAACACCAAACATATTAACATAGTTGACCCTGGGGTTATAAAATTATGAATTTTTCCTTCTTCATAATTCTCTATGCTTTCTAAACACTCAACTATATGCATGTACTTTTTTTTTTTTGAGACAGGGTAGCCTCCAACTCCTAGGCTTAAGCAATCCTCCCCGTTCAGCCTTCTGAGTAGCTAGGACTATAGGTACACACCACCATGCCCAGCTAATTTTTTTATTTTTTGTAGAGCCAAGGTTATACTAGTAACCCAGGCTGGTCTTGAATTCCTGGCCTCAAGCAAGCCTCCTGCCTCAGCCACCAAAAGTGCTGGGATTATAGGTGTAAACCACCCTACCCAGTCCAGCATATGCACTCTTGATAACCAAAATATAAAGGTAAAAACTGGAAAGAAATATAATAAAACATGGTTATCTCTAGCTAGTGGGATTATAGATGATCTTTATTTACATGCTTTTCTGAACTTTCTTTTTTTTTTGAGACAGAGTCTAACTGTGTTGCCTGGGATAGAGTGCCGTGGCATCATCCTAGCTCACAGCAACCTCAAACTCCTGGGCTCAAGCGATCCTCCTGCCTCAGCCTCCCGAGTAGCTGGGACTACAGGCATGCGCCACCATGCCCGGCTAGTTTTTTCTATATATTTTTAGTTGTCCAATTAATTTCTTTCTATTTTTAGTAGAGACGGGGTCTCACTCTTGCTCAGGCTGGTCTTGAACTCCTGAGCTCAAACAATCCGCCCGCCTCGGCCTCCCAGAGAGCTAGGATTGGGCGTGAGCCACCGCGCCCGGCCTCCTCCATGATTTTCTTAATGGTGTTTGGGAACTCATCTGCTGCTTCTTGGTTGGCAGTAGCTGCTTCTCCTGTTATCTTGGCATTTTTTAAGCCAAATCTCTTTCTAAAATTATCAAACCATCCTTTGCTGGCATTAAATTCTCCAGCTATAGATCCTTCACCTTCCTTTTGCTTTAAGTTGTCATATGAGGACTTTGCTTTTTCTTGAATCACATCAGAACCTATAGGCATGCCTTTCTTATAGCAACCTTGCACCCACATAAAAGCTGTATTTTCAATATGAGATAAAAATGTATTTTATGCTGGGTGCAGTGCCTCATGCCTGTAATCGTAGCACTCTGGGAGGCTGAGGTGGGAGGACTGCTTGAGCTCAGGAGTTTGAGACCAGCCTGAGCAAAAGCGAGACCCAGTCTCTACTAAAAATAGAAAACTTAGCCAGGCAACAGGGTGTGCACCTGTAGTCTCAGCTACTCAGGAGGCTGAGGCAGGAGGATCCCTTGAGCCTAGGAGTTTGATGTTGCAGTGAGCTAAGATGATACCACTGCACCACTCTACCCAGGGCAACAGAGTGAGACTGTCAAAAAAAAATATATTTTGAAAAAAGTGCAAGGTTTTTGTACCTGTTGGCATAGCTGTAGTGACAACTTCATGAATTTCCTTTTTTTTTTTTTTTTTTTTTTTTACAATGGTCCTTACACTGGATTCATTTATCTAGAGACGGTGGGCAACCACAGCTACAGACCTCAATTTTACAGTACATATCAAGCAATTCAACTTTTTCTTGGAGTGTCAAGACTTCTTTCTGTTTCTTGGGAGCACTTCCAGCATCACTAGTGGCACTTTGGTTTTTTGGGTTTTTTTTTTCCCCCAGAGACAGGATCTTGTTCTGTCACCCAGGCTGGAGTGCAGTGGCACAGTCAGAGCTCATTGTAACTTCGAACTCCCTGGGTCAAATGATCCTCCCTCCTCAGACAAGAGGCACTTTGTATGGATCCTGTGGTATTATTCAAGGTTTGTGGTATTGCACTAAATGCGATGAAAGATATGCAAGAACCTCGAGAGATCACTTTTACTGTTATACACAATTTACTGGAGAGACAAACTGCGCACACAGACATGATTAGTGTTACTTGGCATTTTAAGCACATACTCGCAAATATTTGAGTTCATCACAATTGAGCTCATCACATAGTATCTCTCATGTTTTAATTATTTTCTTTTTTTTTTTTATTTCAGCATATTATGGGGGTACAGATGTTTAGGTTACGTATGTTGCCCTTGCCCCCCACGCCAAGTCCTCTCATGTTTTAATTCTTGAAAGAAAGAAAGAAAGAAGAGGGAGAGGGGAGAAGACAGTGTCTGCCATACGGAGTGACACTATAGATGAACCCAAGTGGAAGAGTGTCCAGCAACTTGTCACCTTGATAATCTGGTTGCTGCAGCCGGCCTTCTGTCATACCCAAACCTTCAGCACAGTCCTGCTTGAATATCCCAGCTTGGCCTCAACTGTGCTACTGAGAACTGAAAGAAACCACCAGTTTGCACTTTGGCCCTAAGTGTAGCAGGACCTCCCCAAGGCCAGGCAGGTAATTGCTAGTGATGGGTGGGGGGACAGCGAGCTGCTAGGGAAGGTCAGGAGAATGATGAAAAGGGAGATATCACGGATGGGGTGAACCATAGATGACAAAGGTACTGCTTTGTCATCATTTTGTAATCTGGATGGAATTCAGAGTTAACATTGGCTCCTTACAAAATCACAACTCTTTAGGGAGATCTCAGGCCCTACAACCCCATAATATGCCCTCAAATCATGCAACAACCAAAGTATCAAAGGACCAAGAGTCCTAGGTCCTATTTCTTGCTCTATATGGAGCAGCCCTTGGTTGTCAAGGTCTCATAAAGTTCTTCATTTTCAAAGCGTATGAATTTAAATGTTCTTAGCACAGTAAAGAATGAAAAGAAAGGAGGCACTCACTTTCATGGGGATTTGTGTGCACATCTTTCGTGACCTTGTCAATGAACAGCTTGAAACAGATTCCATGTGGAGATGAGTGTACAGAGACCCTGACCACTGCAGGGAGTGACGTGCTACTGCCACCTTTCTGCTTTAGTCAACTATCGTCTGTTTTACAGGCTCTTTCTCCAGTTACCTAATGCCCCACCCCCGCATTCTAGAGAGTGTGACCACACAATGAGAGGTGTGCCCAAAGGGCACAGCCAAGGGAGCATCGAACAGGCTCTGGTCATAGCTCTTTCCCAGCCCCTTCTGATTACTGACCATCTTCAAGTCTCTGTACTTCCTGAACATAATCCCTTCATTCTCCAGGCTTGTAAAACAACCTGAAATCATAAAGATGCTGGACATACTTCTCTATCCTAGACTGCCTCTCCCACTTGACAAAAGATGTAGTCTTAATCAGAAAACCTTTTTAAGAATTTAAGAGTTT